CATGGTTAGCAATTTTCTCTAAAATTCAAATCACTGAAGGGCTTAGGAGAATGTTGTGAAATGGCATAATTGATAAGAATGAAACTCTTAAAAACACCACTGTATAGGATTAAGAGTTACCAGTTTGTTATTGATTTTTTTAATTAAAAGATTTTTAATTATGTTGCCAGAGGTTTTAGTTAAGAAAATGCATCATAAAATTGTAGCCTAAATTTAATTCTATTAATGTCTTTTCACACTTTTAGTGATAATTTATTTTAGACTAAAACATATTTAAAACGAGGTACCAAGAAGAACATAATCTTAGATAAGAGATCAGTGATTAAAACAGCAGCTGAGTCAGTCAGCTTTATTAAACATTATTAAGTGCTAAAGAAAAATATATTTGGCTTCTAAATATCAATGGAATTTGATGAGATAGTGTCAAGAAGAATGAATGCTTCAAGTGAAGTATTTTTTTCCCCAAATTTTTTTTATTTCAATCTGCATATGCACACCAATACATTAACAGTGTTGCATCAATATATCATACATTTTACTATAGGCAAAATTAATATCAATCATATCTCTCAATGCATATATTTCACATTAATTTATAATCCTTCAATGCTTATTTTCAACCTTTCTCCATATGCCTACCACCATATCAGTTAAACATACCTAGTAATTCCATTATTCGATTTTCTCCCTGCTTTTATTTTATTTTTTAAAATAAAAAATTCTCATTTGGCAAGCAGTGTGGTTCTAGGTTTTACATCTCAATACAGACATGACCATAGTTACCTGTTCGTTATATTTGTTTAGTTTCATATTGCATCATCCTTATTATTGTTAAATATTAAGCTTATCTTATCCAATTCCAATTCATGCTATATTAATACATATTCATATCTTATTTTACAATGTTATCTAAAATTCTCATCTTATTTCTGTTGTCATTTCTCATATTTTTTCTGTCACATTTGTCATTTTATCAAACCTTATCTGTAAATACAATTGTCCCCTCTGCTTAATAATTCGAGCTAACCATCTTCATTCTACCTTAATATCAATCTCCCTATCTAGTATATAACACAAATATATATATATATATATTTCAGTTTCCGCATTATATTTTCTCAAACACCTTACGAATCATCTATACATTACAAAATACTATTTTCAATATATTCTTATACATCACAACATATTACCTTGCGGAATCGCCTTCCTTATCCTTTTTTTTTCACCCATTATCTCACTCTTTGGACAATGTACTTTCTTTTCGTTCTTGTTTGTTTCCTATTCCTCTTTGTTTTCTGGTCCTTTCTCTTAATTCCCTTTTTTCCCATTCTTATTCCCTTCCATTTCTCATTCCAGTTATTAAACTTTTCTCTCTCCCTCTTTTGATTTTTCTTTTGCCCTTCCCTTTTCTGCTTTTTCCCTCTCTCTTTATCCTTTTTCCAAACCATTCTCCCTTTTATCATCCCATCAGACCACACATTTTTAATTCTAATTCCTCCCCCCCTCCCCCCCGCTTAAATAATTGTTCGTTTTGTCCTTCAATGTTGGCTTCTTCTTTATAGAACAGAAATAAACCCCCTCTGGTTTATTTTGTTCTTGTGTATGCTGAGTCACCATTTCTAATTTCGGTAGTACATAATTGCATCTTTCAAGTTTAATTTTTATCATGTTCCTTATATCTTGCAAATCCAATCTTAACTCTTGTAAGTCCAATCTTATATCAACAAATAGTTTCTCCATTATATCTTCTACTTTTTTCTTTTTCTTTTCTCTTCCTTAATAGTTAAAATCCTCTTCTTTAATAGATATATTCAATCCCAGAGTCCTTTAAATTTTCTCTTCCAAATTAATCCAATCCAAGTTTTATAGGATCCAATTTCTTTCTCACTTTCTCTGGTCGCCGCTTCCACATACTTCCCTCCCTTTATTTTAATACCGCGGTACCTCAAAAGCGATGTTCTTTGCCTGGTTCACACTCTGCTCGCTACTTCTCTGCTCCAGCACAAAACTTAGTTTCCCAGAGTGTTCTTTATCTTTGTGGTGGCCATTTTAGGACCACTGCTGCAATTTGCCTTTGGGAAGGATTTTCCTGTTAGGGAGGGGAGTTGTGACTCCCCTTGACCCTCCAGGCGATTTTCCCCTTCACCACCCCACCAGGGTGGTTCTGGTCTCGATCGGGACCCTCCAGCAAGTGAGCTCGCACGATCGCGGATTCCACTCTGACTCCGATGAGGAACAAACCGGAAGTCTCAAGTGAAGTATTTCTAAGAGCCTAAAGAAATTTTAACTTTCCTATACTGTTCCTATTGAGCATATAAATGCACGTAATTCTTCCACTGTAGTCCTGTTCCATTTTCATTATGGAAAATGCTGAACGAGGGAATAGTCTCAATAATTCCCCATGAATGTCACCCAAATTAAATCAGATGCTGCAGATGCAAAAGCCAAATTAGGTTGGTTTGCATGCAAGTTAAAAAAACCCTTATAATGCAGGATTGTTGCTCAAATGAAAACTAATAGTGAATAAGTCTCTTTGCTACAAATATTTACATTCAACACGTGGATGCCTGCAGCAGCTGGTGGTTTTAAAATGCTTTTGGCAGCAAGGTTATTATACACTGAATATTCATGAATGTTCAAACAGGGCTTATAACATCAGGTAATTTCTTCTGGGTGGAGGGAAAACCAGATTTATAGTATTTTTATGGTTATAGCTGCTTTATTTTATTTGGCACAAACATGTGGACTAGGTTGGATTAACAACAGTGAATAGCTCAGTCACATAGTCTGCATGGTATAAGATTTATTCCAATACATTTAACTCCACAGTAAAAAAAAGAAAAATACCTTAAATGAAAATGTAGAAGAAAATAAGATATTTTGACATGGTGCAGGGAATTTTCAGATGGTAAAATGAATTATGTAGTAAAGGGATTTTAGACAGAAAAGGTTACACTTTGCTTTTTCAGGATACTCTTCCACATCACTTACTCAGAGATTGTAGTATACAGTACAAGATTCTATAAAATGGCTATACTTATTTAAAATTAAAAAATGCATTATTTCAAATTCCTAAATATCTACCAAGAAATAAATTAGAAATCATCAAACATTTTACACCATATTCCTCAAGCAATCTTGAGGGCAACTTAATATATGGTCTAGATTCCCAAGAACCCAGAAAATATGATTAAGTCAGTACACAGATTAATGTAATTTACCCACAAACAACTGAGACTTCTACACTCAAAACTATCACTGTGGTAAAATAACTAATGAAAGACAGACTTTATATCACTTCAATGATGGCTGGGTGATGTCATGGAGATGCTATAAGTCATTAGTAAAAAACAGTCTTGTGCTCTGTGAATGTACTGTAGTCGTCATTATTTTGCCAAGTGTCTGGGGTAGCATAGGAAAAACCCTTGATTGCTTTAATTTCAATCAAGTCTTGTCTAGAAATGATTATAAAGTCCCTAGACTTGTTTATACTCATAATCTCTAATAGTAAATACATTTAATTATGACTCACCTTAGATATATTTAACATTAATCAAGACCCCTATATTTTTAAATATAAGGAACTCATGAATTGGCCTCTTACAATTAAACCTACAGTAATTTATTTAGAAATTACTGAACAAAGCAAAGGTGTGGTTCTAATCTACCACTGAAAGATTTGAAATACCTCTTCATGCTATTCTTTAAAAAATACTTGTTTACATTTTGCCTTTGGTGTTTAATTTGTATTATCCAAAAAATAATAGGTTTCTTAAACAAATCAACCCTGAATTGATGCAAACACATTTTAAAATTAGAGAAGACAGTACTAAGATACCACACTATCTGAGATGCTCCAACAAATTATACTAAGGAGAGGAGAGGAGGGCCAGTTAAAAACTGACCTTTTTCTCCATATTTAATTTTATCTTTGCCTTCATGTCTTCTTGGGAAAGAAGTATTATTCTGCTTTGCTTGTAGAATGTGTTGCATCTAAAAAAAAGTCTCTAAAAATAGCAACTTCAGAATGAAAGCTCTTGAACAATCTTATCTATGGCATTACAAATATGGTTTTCTACCCGCCTGAATAAGGTTTTAGGCAAGATTGGTACATGTTAGACTCAGTTCAGTCAATATAATGTACTGGTGAATAGGGAAGAAGAAAAACATTACTTGGTTGGTTTTCAAAATGGTGCAAAGCGTACATCTGAAACTTTATTTTAAGATGGAATATTGAAAAAAGTGTGGTTGGTTTTAAAAAAAGCAATCCAATTAATTCTAAGTAGGCAGAACTTCTGGAAGTGAGATATTGCTGTAATGCTATCTATCCTAAGAGGTGTTGAAAGTCTTCCTATTTTCTCAGAATCTTCATTTTAAAAACGGGGAAAAATGTTGTAATTATTAACTGTCATGCAAGTGGCAATATCTCCCAGCTTTTTCAGTGAGCTTTTTCTCCTGGTTTTATTTTTAATCTGGATGTGGCCTCTAAAGAGGGAGGAGAAGACAAAAAAGATCCAACTACAAGCCAGATCCGTGAGGTATCTAACAATTCAAAGTCCCAAATAAAAGAGATAGTTTAATAGTGGTGTCTTTGGTACTCTCTGTACTTGGTTTTTTGCTTGCAGACGTTTCATTATCCAAGTAGGGTAACATCAGTACTACTTGAGTGTGAGGTTTCCCCCCCTGTTTATATACATTAGATTGCCCTGCAGCTAATGGCAGGGTGTGATTTTTCTCCTTGCAATTTCTTGATTAGGGTGTTGTGGAAGAATTGCAACATATTGTGTAAAGCTGCACCTGCTACAGGCAGGCAGAAGATCAGCAGAGTGCACCAATGAGCAGTCAGAAGATACAATAAAAATCAACCATTGTTCCAGATAGGAAACTCAGCATTCTGGATCAAGCAAATCCAAAAATGCTAGAGAATTCTTGGAAGTTTGGCATTCAGACAAATCAGCCATCAATAAGACACATAGAAATAAATCATATTTACTTACCATTTAAGAGAGAGAAAAAATTATGAGGAAACATCCATCCAACAGCCCAAACCAAGAAAAGCAGGGATTAATACCAGACAAGCAAGCAGAAAACAATATCCTAGCCAAGGAACTCCCAAAAAGAAAAGCACACTACCAATATTTGCCAGGCAAACTACTTTGACTAGGGGCAAACTCTACACTCACACTGATGATGTTATTTAGTTGAGCAATGAAACATCTGCAAACAAACAACCAAGATCAGAAAAACACTAGAGTCCAGAAATCAAAGTGCAGCTCTCTTGTTGCATCCTAATGTTGTACTCCTCCAGGGTATGACGTAGGCTCTACCAATTCCTATTTTATCAAATTGGATGGATTTTGTTTTGTTTTTTACATTACTGGCATTGTGACTAGCAAGAGAAGGTATATTGATTGTTGGCAAGGTGTTTGTAAGAAGGAGACCTCTGCCAGACAAGTTTGTTAGATGGGTTTAAAGGAAGAAAAACCAACTTATAATTAACCGAACATGTCTGGCACATACTTGCCCATTTCAAGCCAGAAAGACTGAAGATGTGGACAAGCATCCCATTTAGGATTTTGTTGCCGGATTTGGAGATGGTGGCAAGTATAGCTCTTCTTGACTTTTTAACAGCAAAAGATTTTAACAGCAAAAGGTTGATACAAGGGAAAGTTGTCCCAAAGTTTGTAGTATAAGGATCAAAACTTCTAAACAAAAGTTGGCTACAGAACGTGTAACGTTGGCCCAACAGTCTTCAAGAAGTAGTGAATACATACCTTATCTTTTCTGATTGTCAGTTGAACCTTGCCTTCCTTCTCATCATCAAGAAACTATCTTGTTAGTGATAAGAAATATTTATTAATAGTGGAGACCAACAGACATCTATAGCCCTGAAATGAGTGATAAATGAGTGATAAAATGAGTGATAAAACATGCACCATAGTACAAAGGTCACACCTTATTTGTATGTCACTTTGTTACACAATTATGAAAAGGCAGAACTTTTTGCTTTATCATCTAATTTCATATTTTGATGAAACAGTTACTTTATGAAAGTCCCTCTTCTACATATAATTAAATGTCACAAATCAATGTATTTTTGGTTGCTGCTTCCATTTGATTAGATTTCACAGTCAAAGTCCAGAGTTAAGTCACAACCAGTTCTTTTAATTTAAATAATAGTAAAACAAAGAAATCTGAATCTTGGTGTTCTCACTGGTCTCTGTTAAGACAATGGCAAAAAACAACAACAACAAAAAAACCCAGATCTATTCCTCATTGCAGAATGTAGAAAGAACAATTTTAAACAGAATCATGATACATCAAGAGTCATCTCCATAATACTGTATTCCAAAAGTATTTACTTTGTTCTTATCAAATTGAGTGAACGGAATAGGACCGGATTTGTAATTAGGAAAATGATTCTAACTGGTGCTTTGCAGATACAGTGATGCAAATGCATACACATGTACATTACATAATAATGACAGAGCCTGTATATTAACTATGGAGAATATCTGAAGTGTGCTTATATGCTTCTCCCAACTGTAGAGCAATTGCACAGAATTTTACTCACAAGACCCACCAACAGAACAGTAATAAATGGAATAAATAAATGAAAAGAAACAGAGCTGAGAGAATACATTTAAAAAAAAAACCAAGAGGGTGCAAGAGATGCCAACTACTGCACCTTAAGCAATTTAAATCTTACTTTCCAAAGCAAGTATATTGTTTCTAAAAATATATATATATTCAAAGAAACTAAGAAATTGGTATCTTCACTATCAACCTGCACATATAGTACAAAAAAAAAAGATGTGCCAAGCCTCATCAGATTGGTGTGTCTTAGCAAGTCTTTTTCAGCTAACGTTTCCTGCCAGATCTACTTGCCAATGTCCTGATGGTGATGGTCATTTATCCATCATTGGATGCCAAGGCTTGAACTTCAGCCATGAAAATTATGCTAAGCAAATAACTGAGAGACTGTCTTGGATAATCAAAGCCAATAGAAAGATAGTGCCCTACCATCACCAAGCATGAAATATCTTTGGTTATAGAGTGAGAGAATTCAAATAAAAGCCTATCTGCTTGCACTGCAAACACCTGGGGTCGTTATACTGATTCCAATGTTTTTTCCAAACTAAATCTAGTAGCATTGTAATTAAGACAACATGACTCTACACTATAATTATTGAGTAGATTTAACAATATCTTCAGATTCCTTAGCATCCATAACCTTGATTGACTCATTTTACTCTCAGTGGAGGAAGAACTCTTAACATGAGATCTTAATGACTGATGTATAGCTTCTCTAAGGACAGCTGAAATGCTTCCAAAAGGAGAAGGTACCCTTCTTTCGCTTTCATTTCCAACAAAGTGGACTTAGGTTTGGATACATATTAACCAACCTTGAGAGTGCCAGATATCACCGATAGCTCATTTTATATTGATTTTCTTTATAGACCGCCAATTTCATTATTTTATAATTTTGCTTCCAGATTCTTTCCCAGTCTTCCAAATTGATATTATGTCCTACATTCCTTGCCCATGCAATCATTGGGCCCTTAACTATTTCTTCTGCCAATTCAAATTTTAGTAGGTAGTTATACATTTTGGAGATTATTTTTTCATCTGTTCCCTCTAATATTTTGGAGGAAGAACTCTTAACATGAGATCTTAATGACTGATGTATAGCTTCTCTAAGGACAGCTGAAATGCTTCCAAAAGAAGGATTAAGGGATACTGAGCTTTAAATGATTTTGAGTTTTTGCGATTATTTAATTCATTTGTCACCACAAGAATTAATATTCCAGGACTACATCCATGTCTCCTGACCTCAAATGATTGTGGAAGATATTAGAGAGCAGAAATTGCCATTTATCAATTAAAAAACATTTATCTGCATGTAGTATGGCGAAAATAGAATCCCATTGTCATATCTGATGTTATATTACATTACATATTTGGTGTTGGAGAAGACTACCAATAACAAAGGGAAAAAAACGAAATAAAGTATTGAACAAATCAACCCAGAGTTCTCATTCAGGACACATACTGTATGACACTAACTTATCTGACACTAATGCAAAATCCTAGCTTTTTAGAGAAATTGGTAATTCTGGAAAACGTAAAAGGAAAGGAAAGGAAATGACTAGTAGAAAGTGGATGGATTCAGTTACTGTGGCAATGCTGGACCATTGGAAGACCTAATGGACCAGATTGGGGACAGATTGTCCTGGAAAAGATCTATCTATGCAGCAAGGATAGAAGCATTCCTGTCAAACAGACAACAAATGGTCAAAATTGGGAGTGTCCTATCAAATTCTGTACCTGTCAACAGTGGTGTCCCCCAAGGCAGTGTTCTAGGACCAACTCTCTTCATACTCTACATAAATGACCTCTAGAGCAACTGCGTTCTTTTCGCTGATGATGTAAAGCTAGTCAACACCACCGACAATACTGCTACCCTTCAAAAAGACCTCGACTATGTATCAGAATGGTCAAACAAATGGCAACTTCAAATCTCAACAAATAAATGCTCTGTCTTACATATTGGCAAAAAAATAATAATCAGAAAATAAAATACAGGCTGAATAGTCAAGACCTTGTTGATGATCCAAACTTTGTCAAGGACCTTGGAATACTCATCTCTAATGACCTAAGTGCTAGAGCCCACTGTAACTACATAGCCAAAAAGGCATTAAGAGTTGTTAACCTAATCCTACGTAGCTTTTTCTCTGGTAATATCACAGTACTAACTAGAGCATATAAAACATTTGCTAGACCAATACTTGAATACAGCTCATCAGTCTGGAACCTGCATTACATATCTAATATTAATACAATTGAGAAAGTCCAGAAATATTTTACAAGAAGAGTCCTCCACTCCTCTACTCATAGCAGAATACCTTATGCCACCAGACTTGAAATTTTAGACCTAGACAACCTAGAACTACGCTGCCTTCGGTTTGATCTAAGTATAGTACATAAAATTACATATTTCAATGTCCTACCTGTCAATGAATACTTCAGCTTCAACCATAACAATACAAGAGCACACAATGGATTAAAACTCAAGGTTAACCACACCAAACTTGATTGCAGGAAATACGACTTCAGCAACAGAGTGGTCAATGTCTGGAATACTCAACCTGATTCTGTGGTTTCTTCCCCAAACCCCAAAAACTTTAACCTTAGACTATCTACTATTGACCTCATCCCTTTCCTAAGAGGTCTGTAGGGGGCGTGCATTAGCGCACCAACGTGCCTACCATCCCTGTCCTATTGTTTCTTTTTATTTTTTCTCATATGTATCCATTTTATATATTCATAACTATGTTTATACTTATACCTATTATCTTGTAAGCGATTGAAAAAATCAAATAAATCAATAAAGAAAAAAGAAAAAAGGATACACAAAAAAAGGAAGGGTTGACACTGACTCTGGTGAATAATCAGTCCAGACAAATACTATGTGTATGCTTTTGGTACAGAATCATGAGACAGGGACCTTAGACTTTTATTAAGAAAGGATTTGCAATGGTAGAATAATAATAAGAAAAATCAGTGTTCTCCAATCAAATCAGAAAGACTTAATTATAGACAGTGAGCAAGAGAGATTTTTTGGGGTGGGTGGGTGGGTAGGGAGGTTAAAGGAATTGTAGACCTAGAGATTTGCCAAACATTGTAAAATTATACATTAGCTTTTAGAAAATAGATTTACTTACATGATCAACATTTCAATTCAATCAACTACTGGTATCTTATATGTCTAACAAAATATTAGCATTTTAAAATAATCTTTAAGGATTGACAAGGGGGAAGGATGTCTCTGGATTGTTTTCTAATCTTTTTCAGTCAGTAGCTAGAAAAAGCAGCTGTATTTTTTTTCTGTGTAACAAAGTAACATTTTGCCATCAATTGGTGTACCTTTCTGTTTTTTCCCCTGTGTCTGTATCTCTTTATATGTATATGTATGCTAGGATTATAAAGAAGGCTGTACACATTCCACTCTAGCTTCTACTATTAAGAGGGGGGAGAAAATGGGCTTGGAATGGAAAAGTTAGCAACTATCACTACCCAATTATCTTTCCATAGGGATAT